TTTCTTTTCTGCTGTATATACTCCTAGCACCTAAAGATTTATTAATATGGAGACTAAATGCAAAACTGGGCATACTGAAGAGCAGACCTTTGCTATAAAGACATCTCACTCATTAGTTTTAATAACCCTTGTTAAAGGTATGTTTGTAATTGAGTCTCACTCTGCTATTATCTACAGTAATCCAAGACAAATGACATGGATGAGATAAAATCATTGATTTTCATTTCCTTTTTATTATAGAGTTTAGATGATTAGCTACTGTTTCTTGACAGAAAGCCAAGAGGTAACATTTTGCAGCATATTTTTAATCTTTTCTAAAATAGTTTTGCAATTACTTCACCAAAATTTTTATTGATCACCTACTCTTTGGAGGTTGTTGTCCTAAGCTAATGTGGAAAAGACAAATGAGAATCAAGGGAGTTAAAGAAGGCATGATCCAGTTATTCAAATGAATGTCTTGACTCTTTTGAAGTGACCTACCAATTGTGCTGGATTAGTAATTACTATGGTTAAATTCAGATAAATCTTCAATATTAAAAAATATACTCAAATGTAGGTTAACAATTTACCTTTTCTATTATTATTAATAATGTTCATTATTTATGTCTTTATTATTATAATTGAGAAAAAATAATGCCCCAAAAGAGAAGAGTGTTTGCTCCCTTAAGAGAAGTAGAAGGAGGGGATGCCCCTACATGAACATTTAAAATTTAATTATTTTTAGGATGATGGGGTTCTACTTCAAAATGTAGCTCTGATCTAGCTAACTCAGCAGCAAACTCACAACTACCATCTTATGACTTCTACTCTCTGGATATCAGTTAACTTTTGCATTATAATATAACATCAACACAACTTAGCAGTTTAAACCAAAAACAATTGCATTCGTTTTCTATTGCTGTGTAACAAATCACTACAAATTTAGCAGCTTAAAACAACACAATACTATTAATCTCACAATGTCCCTGTATCAAGAATCCAGCATTTTCTATCTCATCTCAGCATCTCCTAAGGTTACATCAAGGCATTGACTGGTTGTGTACTTATTTGTAGGCTTGACTTAGGAAAGACCTAATTCCAAGATCCCTCAGGTTGTTGGCAGAATTCATTTTCTTGCAGTTGCAGAACTGATGTTTCCCTTGCCTCGTTAGCTACTGGCTGGTTAGTTTTCTCAGCAATTAGAGACTGCTCTCCAGTTCTCCAGTTTTTGCCATCTGGGCTCCTCTGTCTTAGTCATGGAGAACAGCTCCCATGTGTCAAAAACCATCCTATGCTTCTGATCTTTTACATATATCTTTCTGAGAATAGCTAGAGAAAACTTTTAAAAGGCTTATGTAATTAGGTCAAGCTTACACAAATAACCTATATTAAGACCAACTATGCCATATAACATGAAATCATGAAATCATGCCATATAATATAACATTAATCATGAAAACACACCAAATTCACAGCATACTTATATACATGGTTTGTATTTATCTGGTGGATGAGATATCCTGCCTACCACAAACATTCATGAATCTCACAAATCTGCTAGACTACATTTAGTTATGTGGTTCTTTTGGTATAAAATAGTGTGGTAAATTATACAGCTGCAATCAGCTAGACACCAGCCTGCTTTAAGAGAGCCTTTGTAGGGATTCCATGAGTCCCACACATTGGGTTCCGTAACATAGGGATCCATGAGCTTCATACTGGGCACCAGAATATAGGGATTCAGCCCTACATCACACATGGGTACCCTGAGTTTGGTGGCTACAAATGAATGAGAAAAAGATTAAGAGAGAAAGTGGGACCAGGGGCCATCACTTTATTACTCTGGAGGTGGCAATGAAGGCCCCAAGCTCTATTTCTTGATTACAATCACTTTGATCTATAGGGTAGGGGTGGAGTGATGCTGGAATGAATCAGTGAGCCAGGAGTGAATCAGTGAGCCAGAACTCATATGTCATCCTCAGGGTTGATAACAGTGGCGGTTTGGGAGTTTCACAAAACAAGAACATGTGGTTATCTTTAGTTTATTATCTATGTACAGCTGATGGAACATGGGCCTTACAAGGAGCCTACAAGTCTGGCTACATCACAGTGCTGCAAAGGGGTTTTATGTCCTCGTGCACAATGTTTATGGTAACAAAGCCTAAGTCACCCTGCACTGGAACATGAGGCATGGAGAGGCCTTCCTCCTCAGAGGCCTCCTGTGGCCTTCCACAGTTTGTTGTTCCTTGTTTATATGTCACTCATAACCAATTTATGTAGGCACTCTGTAAGTCCTTTCTTCTTTGCAGCTTTTCCCAATAAGACTTGTATGAAACAGTCATAAGAAAAAGCGAATTGGGGCCTCACTTCACCTTTTTTCTCATTTGCTAATGGGATAGTATAACACTTATTAAAGTAGCAGTCCCAGGGTTCCAAGAGTGAGCATAATGGTGTAAAGTCTCCTGAGGTTTAGTCTCTAACTCATACATTGTCCCTTCTCCTACACTGTAGCCAAAGCTAGTCATGTGTCCTGTCTAGATTAAAATAGGGAGGCATAGTATGCACATCTTCAATAGAAGGGAAGAGTATTTTAATTTTTGCTATCTCCCACACATGGCTTTTTCAAGATAAGGAGAAAGCGGAAAAACTGTTATCATGGAATATGTATTGACAAATATACAATTAATTAACATTTCTATTACTATTCTTTTTTTGATAATCTTTTTTTTTCTTATTGTACTTTGGGTTCTGGGGTACCTGTGCAGATCATTCAGGGTTGTTGCATAGGTACATCCATGGCAAGGTGGCTTGCTGCCTCTATCCCTCCATCACCTATATCTGGAATTTCTCCCCATGTTATCCCTCCTCAACCTCCCTAACTCCTGCTGTCCCTCCCCCAGTGCCCCCCAACAGAACCCAGTGTGTGACGCTCCCCTCCCTGTGTACATGTGTTCTCATTATTCAACACCCGCCTATGAGTGAGAACATATGGTGTTTGATTTTCTTTTCCTTGTGTCAGTTTGCTGAGAATGATGATTTCCAGATTCACCCATGTCCCTGCAAAGAACACAAACTCATCGTTTTTTTATGGCTGCATTCCATGGCACATATGTGCCACATTTTCTTTGTTCAGTTATCATTGCTGGGCATTTGGGTTAGTTTTAGGTCTTTGCTATTGTAAACAGTGGCACAATCAACATACATATGCATATGTCCTTATAATAGAACGATTTATAATCCTTTGGGTATATACCCAGTAATGGGATTGCTGGATCAAATGGAATATTTATTTCTAGGTCCTTTAGGAATCACTACACTGTCTTCTACAATGGCTGAACTAATTTACACTCCCACCAACAGTGTAAAAGTGTTCCTATTTCTCCACATCCTCTTCAGCATCTCTTATCTCCAGATTTTGTAATGATCACCATTCTAACTGGCATGAGATGGTATCTCAATGTGGTATTGATTTGCATTTCTCTAATGACCAGTGATGATGAGCATTTTTTCATAGGTTTGTTGGCCTCATAGATGTCTTCTTTTGAAAAGTGTCTGTTCATATCTTTCACCCACTTTTGAATGGGTTTGTTTGCTTTTTTCTTGTAAATATGTTTTAGTTTTTTATAGATTCTGGATATTAGCCTTTTGTCAGATGGGCAGATTGCAAAAATTTTTCCCATTCTTTTGGTGCCAGTCACTCTAATGATTTTTTCTTTTGCTGTACAGAAGTTCCGGAGTTTAATTAGATCCCATTTGTCTATTTTGGCTTTTGTTGCCAATGCTTCTGGTGTTTCAGTCATGAAGTCCTTGTCTATGCTTATGTCCTGAATGGTTTTGCCTAGGGTTTCTTATAGGGTTTTTATGGTGTTAAGCCTTATGTTCAAGTCTTTAATCCATCTGGAGTTAATTTTAGTGTACGGTTTCAGGAAGGGATGAAGTTTCTGCTCTCTGCACATGGCTAGCCAGTTTTCCTAATATCATTTATTAAAGAGAGAATCCTGTCCCCACTGCTGGTTTTTGTCAGGTTTGTCAAAGATCAGATGGTTGTAGATGTGTGGCCTTGCCTCTGAGGCCTCTGTTCTGTTTCATTGGACTATATCTCTGTTTTGGTACCAGTACCAATTTATTTGATTACTGTAGCTTTGTAGTATAGTTTGAAGTCAGGTAGCATGATGCCTCCAGCTTTGTTATTTTTGCTTAGAATTGTCTTTGACTATGCAGGCTCTCTTTTGGTTACATATGAAGTTTAAGTTGTTTTTTTCCAGTTCTATGAAGAAGGTCGTTGGTAGCTTGATGGGTATGGCATTGAATCTATAAATTACTTTGGGCAGTATGGCCATTTTCACAGTATTGATTCTTCCTAACCTTGAACATGGAATGTTTTTCCAACTGTTGGTGTCCTCTCTTATTTCCTTGAGCAATGGTGTGTAGTTCTCCTTGAAGAGGTCCTTTACATCCTTTGTTAGTTGTATTAATTGGTATTTTATTCTCTTTGTAGCAGTTGTGAATGGCAGTTCATTCTTGATTTGGCTCTCTTTAAGTCTTTTATTGGCGTATAGGAATGCTTGTGATTTTTGCACATTGACTTTGTATCCTGAAACTTTGCTGAAGTTGCTTATCAGTTTAAGAAGATTTTGGACTGAGACAATGGGGTCTTCCAAATATATAATCATGTTGTCTGCAAATAGAGACAATTTGATTTCCTCCTTTCCTAATTGAATACCCTTTATTTCTTTTTCTTGCCTGAGTTCTCTGGCTAGAACTTCCAACAGTATATTGAATAGGAGTGGCGAGAGAGGGCATCCTTGTCTAATGCCAGATTTCAAAGGGAATGCTTCCAGTTTTTTCCCATTAAATATGATATTGGCTGTGAATTTGTCATAAATAGTTTTTATTTTGAGATACATTCCATGGATACCTAATTTATTGAGAGTTTTTAGCATAAAGTCCTGTTGAATTTTGTCAAAGGCCTTCTCTGCATCTATTGAGATAATCATGTGGTTTTTGTCTTTTGTTCTGTTTATGTGGTGGATTATGTTTATAGACTTGCATCTGTTGAACCAGCCTTGTATCCCCAGGATGAAGCCTAGTTGATCATGTCGGATAAGCTTTTTGATGTGCCATTGCAATGGGTTTGCCAGTATATAATTGAAGATTTTTGCATCTATGTTCATCATGGATATTGGCCTGAAGTTTTCTTTTTTTGTTGAGTCTCTGAAAGGTTTTAGTATCAGGATGATGTTGTTATCATAAAACGATTTGGGAAGGATTACCTCTATTGTTTAACATAGCTTCAGAAGGAGTGGCATCAGCTCCTTTTTGTACATCGGGTAGAATTCGGCTGTGAACTCATCTGGACCTGGGCTTTTTATGGTTGGTAGTCTATTAATTGCTGCCTCAACTTCAGCTGTTGTTATTGGTCTCTTCAGGGTTTTGACTTCTTGCTGTTTAGGCTTGGGAGGCTGGAAGTGTCCAGAATTTATCCATTCCTTCCAGGTTTACTGGTTTATGTGCATAGAGTTGTTTGTAGTAATCTTTGATGGTAGTTTGTATTTCTGTGGAATCAGTGGTGATATACACTTTATCATTTTTTATTGCATCTATTTGATTTTTTTCTCTTTTCTTTTTTATTAATCTGGCTATTGGTCTGTCTATTTTGTTGATCTTTAAAAAAAAAAACTAGCTCCTGGATTTATTGATTTTTTGAAGGGTTATTTTGTGTCTCTATCGCCTTCAGTTCTGCTCTGATCTTATTTATTTTTTGTCTTCTTCTAGCTTTTGAGTTTTTTTGATCTTGCTCCTCAAGCTTTTTCAATTTTGATGATAGGGCATCTATTTTAGATCTTTCCTCCCTTCTCATGTGGGCATTTACTGCTATAAATTTCTCTCTAGACACAACTTTAAATGTGTACCAGAGTTCCTTGTGTCTTCATTCTTGTTGGTTTCAAAGAACATTTTTATTTCTGCCTTCATTTCATTGTTTTCCAGTCAACATTCAGGAGCCAGTTGTGCAGTTTCCATGAAGTTGTGCAGTTCTGAGTTAATTTCTTAATCCTGAGTTCTCATGTAACTGCACTGTGGTCTGAGAGACTGTTTGTTATTTTTTCTGTTCTTTTGCATTTGCTGAAGAGTGGTTTACTTCCAATTATGTGGTCAATTTTAAGTAAGTGCGATGTGGTGCTGAGAAGAATGTATATTCTGTGGACTTAGGGTGGAGAGTTCTGTAGATGTCTATTAGGTCTGCTTGGTCCAGATCTGAGTTCAACTCCTGGATATCCTTGTTAATTTTCTGTCTTGTTGATCTGTCTAATATTGACAGCGGATTGGTAAAGTCTCCTGCTATTATTGTGTGGGAGTCTAAGTCTCTTTGTAGGTCATTAACAACTTGCTTTATGTATCTGGGTGCTCCTGTATTTGGTGCATATATATTTAGGATCATTAGTTCTTCTTGTTACATTGATCTTTTTACCGTTATGTAATGCCCTTCTTTGTCTCTTTTGATCACTGTTGGTTCAAAGTCTGTTTTATCAGAGACTAGGATTGCAACTCCAGCATTTTTTTGCTCACCATTTGCTTGGTAAGTCTTCCTCTATCACTTTATTTTGAGCCTATGTGATTTGCACATGAGATGGGTCCTGAATACAGCACACCAATGGGTCTTGACTTTTTATCCAATTTACCAGTCTGTGTCTTTTGATCGGGGCATTTAGCCCATTTACATTTAAGGTTAATATTGTCATGTGTGAATTTGATCCTGCCATTTTAATGCTAGGTTGTTGTTTCGACCATTAGTTGACACTGTTTCTTTATTGTGTTGATGGTCTTTATCATTTGGTATGTTTTTGGAGTGGCTGGCACTGGTTATTCCTTCCCATGTTTAGTGCTTCTTTCAGGAGTTCTTGTAAGGCATGCCTGTTGGTGACAAAATCTCTCAGCAATTGGTTATCTGTAAATGATTTTATTTCTACTTCACTTATGAAGCTTAGTTTGGCTGGATATGAAATTCTGGGTTGAAAGTTCTTTTCCTTAAGGATGTTGAATATTGGTCCCCACTCTCTAGTGGCTTATATTGTTTTTGCTGAGAGATCCATTGTGAGTCTGATGGGCTTCCTTTTGTGGGTAACCCAACCTTTCTTTCTGGCTGCCCTTAACATTTTTTCCTTCATTTAAATCCTGGTGAATCTGATGATTATGTGCTTTGGGGTTGATCTTCTTGAGGAACGCCTTCATGGTGTTCTCTGTATTTCCTGGACTTAAATGTTGGCCTGCCTTGCTAGGTTGGGGAAGTACTCCTGTATAATACCCTGAAGAGTGTTTTCCAGCTTGGATTCATTCTCCCCATCACATTCAGGTACAGCTATCAAACATAGATTAGGTCTTTTCACATAATCCCATATTTCTTGGAAGCTTTGTTCATTTCTTTTCATTCTTTTTTCTCTAATCTTGCCTTCTCATTTTATTTCATTGATTTGATCTTCAATCTCTGATATCCTTTCTTTTTCTTGCTTGATTCAGCTATGAAAACTTGTGTATGCTTTGTGAAGTTCTCATGCTGTGTTTTTCAGCTCCATCAAGACATTTATGTTTTTCTCTAAGCTGGTTATTCTGGTTAGCATTTCATCTAACCTTTTTTCAAGGTTCTTAGTTTCTTTGCATTGGGATAGAACATGTTATTTTAGCTCAGAGAAGTTTGGTATTACTCACCTTCTGAAGCCTGCTTCTGTCAATTCATCATATTCAGTCTCCATCCAGCTTAGTACCCTTGCTGGTGAGGAGTTGTGATCCCTTGGTGGAAGAGAAGCATTCTGGTTTTTGGTGTTGTCATCCTTTTTGCACTGGTTTCTTCCTATATTCATGGATTTATTTACCTGTGGTCTTTGTAGTTGGTGACTTTCAGATGAGGTGTCTGAGTGGACATCCTTTTTATTGATGTTGAAGCTATTTCTTTCTGTTTTCTAGTTTTCCTTCTGACAGTCAGGCCCCTCTGCTGCAGGAGGGCTGGAGGTCTACTCCAGACCATGCTTGTCTGGGAATCACCTGTAAGTTTTTTATTCTGTTATCTTCATCCCAGAATGGTACCTGCCAGATGTCAGCAAGAGCTCTTCTTTATGAGGTGACTCTTTGGATATATGGGGGCTGGGGAGCCACTTGAGGAGACAGTCTGGCACTTCTCTGAGCTCAAGTGGTGTATTGGGGTCTCCATTGTTCCATTCAGAGCTACTGGGCAAGTATGTTTAAGTCTGCTACAGCAGAATTCATAACCGCCTTTTTTCCCAGGTGCTCTGTCTTCGGAAGGTGGGGCTTTATTTATAAGTTCCTGACATGCCGCCACCTTTTTTCAGAGATGTCCTGTCCAGCTAGGAGGTAGTCTATTCACAGTCTGCCAGCAGAGGCCTTGATGAGCTGCCACGGACTCTGCCCAGCTGCTGTGTAAACTGCCTTGCAGTTTTGTTTACAAAAGTATACTTAGAACTGCCTCGGTAATGGTGGTCTGCCTCAGTAATGGCAGACTCCTTTAGTAATGGTGGAGTGCCTCAGTAATGGGGGACTGCCTTGATAATGGCAGGCTTCCTCAGTAATAGTGGACATACTCAGTAGTGGCGGACTGTCTCAATAATGTTGGACTGCCTCGGTAATGATGGAGTGCCTCGGTAATGGCGGACGCCCTCACCCAACAAAGCTGGACCGTCTGGGGTCCAGCTGCGCTTGCTGTGAAACTCTCAATCCTGAGCGTTTCAGATTGCTGGTCTTGGTGAGGGTGGGACCTGCTGAGCCAGATCAGCTGGCTCCTTGGTTTCAGCCCTCTCTTTTTCCGTTGAATGGGGGGCTTTGTCTCCCAGGCATTCCAGGCGCCAGTTGAAACAGCTGCCCAGATTTGTATAAGCTTTTGTTCAGAGGCCTGCTGCACCGGCTGAAACCCAAATGTATTATTATTTTGAAAACTTAGAGTAAAATTGTACACTTCAAAGTTTTGTATTGGAAAATCTAACCAAAAAACCGGTTATAATTTAGAAGAGTTGGATGAACAAAACAATACCAAAAAGACGTAAGTTTTACAATTCTCTGCAAATAAGTTCAATATAAGAATAGGACTGGGGCCGGGCCCTGTGGCTCACGCCTGTAATCCCAGCACTTTGGGAGGCCGAGGCAGGTGGATCACGAGGTCAAGAGATCGAGACCATCCTGGTCAACATGGTGAAACCCCGTCTCTACTAAAAATACAAAAAATTAGCTGGGCATGGTGGTGCATACCTGTAATCCCAGCTACTCAGGAGGCTGAGGCAGGAGAATTGCCTGAACCCAGGAGGCGGAGGTTGAGGTGAGCCGAGATTGCACCATTGCACTCCAGCCTGGGTACCTGGGTAACAAGAGCCAAACTCCGTCCCAAAAAAAAAAAAAAAAAAAAAGAAAAGAAAAAAAGAATAGGACTGGAAGAAAGGAGAGAGAATATTTTAGCTAAAAGAATTTTTTTTGTTTGTTTGTTAAATGTTGTCTTGACCTAAATCTTGGAATATTGAAAAGTGAAATAAAGTTCTTTGACTTACCTTTCATTTTTTTATTTTTGGGGAGCTATTTATTTAAATCTAAAAGCAACTAAAGATCCTTCTTCTGTAAGCACTGTTTTGACCTTTGTTGATGTTTCTATTTCTGTTATAGAAATCTGAAGGAAATTTATAAAACCTAACTAGCTTTTGCCCATCTATTCTCAATTTCTTATGTGCCACTGGCCTTCTTTTTGTTTGTAAAAACTGACAGGAAGACAAATGATAAATGAACTGAAAGAGACACATCTATTTATTCTTAGGACTCTTACAGTCTCTCCTAGACAATGATATTCAATTAAAAGCATGATAGACTGGAAAAGAAAAATGTGGCACATATACATTATGGAATACTATGCAGCCATAAAAAATGGTGAGTTAGTGCCCTTTATGGGGACTTGGATGAATCTGGAAATCATCATTCTCAGCAAACTCACACAAGAATAGAAAATCAAACACTGTATGTTCTCACTCATAGGTGGGTGTTGAACAATGAGAACACATGGACACAGGGATGGGAACATCATACACAGGGGTCTGTGGGGGGTGGTTGGGGGGACAGTGGGGGATGGGGAGGTTGGGGAGGGATAACATTGGAAGAAATGCCAGATATAGGTGACAGGGGGATGGAGACAGCAAACCATCTTGCCATGTAAGTACCTATGCACTAATCCTGCATGATCTGCACATGTACCCCAGAACCTAAAGTACAATAAAAAAAACATGTGTGTGTGTGTGTGTGTGTGTGTGTGTGTATAAAGCATGAGCTCAAGAAGAAAAATGTAAACATCTATATAATCAATATTGGTATAAATATATATTTTAGTAGTTTTAAAGAAATACTAGTTGACTCCAGTAATGGCAGATTTTCTTATAAGATAGGCCAGATGAGTGCTTCTAACCTTTGTATAATCAAGTCTTATTAAAACTAAAGTTTGGGGAGATTATCTTTTCAAATTTAAAGGACATGATGGATCTAATATTCAAATCTGACTTCCCTTCAATGACACCACTCAAATAGGCCATCTGCCACCACACTGCTCTCTCAGCTTCATTTCACTAACTGCACTGTCATGGCTCTAGGAAAAGGTCAAGAGTGCACCTGCTCTGTTCAAATATACAGATGGTCAGTAAGTTTATCGACACCTTAGATTTTTAAAATAAGTACCTATTCCTAGATATGTGTTAAAGTTTATAATTTTTAAAATGTTAGCATTTTTTTTTTATTTCTGAGCAAGATTTAGCAAAAAAAGAAACCAAGAAGTCTTAGAATTATGTTCTGAAATGGACAAACTTTCTTACAAATGAAAATTTGAACTGTATACATTTATGACTTATATCTACTAAAAATCTTTTGACTAAGGTACTGTCCATTAGTAGGTGGTAATCTTTGAGAATCTAGAGATGCGACTGCATATTTTTATTTTATTTGCTGAAATAAACAGTAATTTGAGAGGACCTGACAAGTACCTGGCAGATATTAAAAATCGAACAGGGACAAAAATAATATTGTTTTCTCCTAAGTTGTTACCATTTTATTTGGGGAAGAGGGATGATAGATGACTGCTATGCTATGCTATGATATGACATATTAAGTCATGAAAAGGGGGGTGTTATATACATTGTCAGAGCCTTATCCACATACCAGTGCTCCTTATCTCTATGTGGATGGATCCAAAAGCTTAGGATTGAAAGAACATGTGACCGAGGTCTTTTTCTGGCTGGCCGAGTGCACTGGAACTATAATTAGGAGACACAAAAGATGAGGCTACAGTAACCCAGGAGCAATTCTTTTCTCATGATGTAATGCAGGGTCACTAAATATTGTAGCCTTCTTTCCCCTTAGGTGGAACAACAGTGACATGCTTCACGAAGTCTACTGAGTTTCCCAGTGCTATCCCATAGCATTAGCCTACTTAGTAACACATTTTGTATTAACTGCCATAAACTCCCTCCCCATTGTGTTCTTGGGATCACCTCCCGAAAAATAACTTAAACCTGAATCTTTTTCTCAGCATGTATTAGTCAGGATGATTAAGGGAAATAGAAGCAATAGGATATTTGTAGAATTTTAAAAAAAGAGAGACTTATTATGAAAGATTGCTTCATGTGATTATGGAGGATAAGACTGACAATTGACAAACTAGAGGTCCTGGGAAGCTGGTGATATAGTTCCAGTCCAAAGTCAAAGACTTGAGAACTAGGAGACCCATGGTGTAAATCCCAGTCTGAATGTGAAGGTCCAATAACGAGGAATTCTGATGTCCTAGGGGAGGAGAAGGCAAACATCTTAGCTCAAGCAGAGATCAAATTTGCCCTTCATTAACCTTTTTGTTCCATTCAGACCCTTAGCAAATTGGATGCTGCACATTTTCAATGGCTAAGATATGCTTCTTTATTTAGTCTATCAATACAAACTTTAACCTCTTCCAGAAACATTCTCACAGTCATGCCCCCAAAATAATCTTTTACCACATATCTGGGCACTCCTTAGCCCAGTCAAGTTCACACATAAAATTAACTATCATTCATGGCCTGCATTTGGAGAAATTCAAACTAAATCAGAGAATAAGGGCAAATAGCATAACCTCTTAAATAAAGTAGCCAAGAACGACCTGAGATGACATTCCTTTAAACACCTGACACCAGGTTAAACACCATTTCAGACTCCTAAATTAAAAGGAGAATTGTGTGGACTTTGACCACAAGAAACATTCAGGCTGAGGAAACAGCAAGTGCAAAATTCCTGGTAAGTTGATGAAAGAACAAGGCTGTTGTTTGAGCTGGTGGGTAAGGAGATAATGGGTGGGAAAGGATGTATTAGGGATTTGAGGGTGGGCATATTAGGACTTCCTCTGAAGGGAATGTAAAGCCATTGGTTGGCTTTGAGCAAGGAAGGAGCATATTGTGTGATATATGTTCCAAGAAGCAGCATATACAGTGATACATGCTCCTTATATATGCTTATCATTTGTATATACTTGATTGAAATATATTGAGTTATGTAGATATGTACACTATACATGTTACTAATATATATATATATATAAAATAAGCATATATCTTGTCATATATCATAAAACATATATAATATATATATAAGTTATATAAACATATATAATATATATAAGTTATATAAACATATATAATATATATATGTTATATAAACATATATAATATATATAAGTTATATAAACATATATATATATATATATATATATATATATATAAAAAAGCTATATCACATATATCGTAGGGGCATATATATAAATGGTTAATAACGAAATACAACCTGGAGGGTAAAGTTGAAATAGGAAGTCCTGATTAGAAGTGAAAGACAATGCTGAAAAGAATGATGGCCTGGTAAGGGTGAAAAATATTGTTTGGCTTGTCCTGGGGGACATGCATGGTGAGAAGGAACCAAGTTCTGAGGTATTTCAAAGGAAGAGTCAACAGGGTAATATGATGGATCAAATCTTGGATATGAGAGAAAGGGAAAGGTTAAGAAGACTTCCAGATTTTTGGTTTGAACAACTGGAAGACCAGAGGTTATTTCTATTAAAATTGGGAAAACTATAGCAAGAGCAGTTTAGCAAGAAAGATAAAGTCTGGTTTTAGAGATTATAACTTTGTCCCATGTATTAGACATCCAAAGTTTTGCCACCTATTCACTGCACAATCATAGAAAATCTATGTCAACGGGAAAATCTGCCTTAACTCATGTCATGTGTTGGAAAAGTTCAAGGATGCTTCTCTACTCCAACAGCAGCTGTGGGATTATCATAACAAGAGTGGTTAGCACATCAGTGTATTTTTTGAGGTGGGGAGGCAAACAGCGGTGGCAGTGGGGAATATCTTCAAATTGTATTTATGTGTAAGGATATTTTTACTTACATTTTGTGTCAAAATCAATGCACATTGTAAATTATACTCAAGATACTTTTTTCATACTTCCAACAGTCTTTCACATCTACTTCTACCCTGGAATCAGGAAATGCCAATGAATTATACATCAATTTAAGAAATATTTATTAAAATCTATGAGATACTGGTAATACATGGTAAGTGAATAAAAGCAGACATCCTCTGAGACAACATATTATCATGGGAGAAGCAGACATTAAACAAATAACAAAAATCAATATATGATTTTAAAGGAAAGAATACAAAATGTGATGAAAGATGGTAACAGAAAGCAATTTAGATTCATTGCAAGGGTGTAAGAGCAACATGTGAGGAAGCGACATTTAACCTGAGACCTAAAGAGACCATAAAATTCAGCTGGACAAAGTGTAGATGTGCTGCCTCTGTATTGGGTGCACACAACTGGGATTAGGGAAAGTTCAGAGATAGATACGGTATAAAAATTAATTTGAAAAAGGCTTGAGAAAGCTGAAGTGGTATATAAGTATATATTATTATGTGTTATTGTTATTAATTATTACACCAATGGTGTCTAAATGTCAGGAAAATTTATGTGTGGATGAAACCATAAGTAGTACAGAATCACTGAATGCAGCCACTTAACTGTAACAACAAGTAGTTCAATTTCATTTTTCAGAATACACTGGGTCAATCCAAGGAGCCAGAGAAGACAGTAAAGGTGCCAAGACCTGGAAGGAGCAGATATAAGGTGAAGATACTGACATGGGTGTCTGTGGAAGGCCATTCCCCTGGCCAAAATCACTCTTAAGAGATGCTAGTGATAGTAGCAGAGTGTAATCCACACAAGCTGAGTGTGGTTGCAGGGACTCTGGTAATAGAGAGCCAGAAAGCCATCAGGTGGCCTCTGGAATTGTTTATGAGCTTGTGACAGTGGCAAGGATTCAGTAAAAGCACATCTCTCCTGCCGAGATCTTGGTGTTACCTATTCTGACTTCTAGGAATTGACTCCCCAATCATCCTATGATTCTACCCTTTGCCTTATAAAATTGGCATTGCCTAAGCTTCTCATCATTGGCTTAAAAAATCCTTTACGGATTGGTCTCAGCCGACCTCTTCCATTTTATTTCCTTCCACTCTTCTACCTCTGTAACATTTTTGCCACACCAAACTCCTTTTGATTTCCAAATGTGCCATACTTTTTCTCAAACCTAGGACATTACATATCCTTTTCTGTCAACACGCTCCCATTATTCCCTTCTTTGACATAGCAAGCTGGTACAAAACTTCCATGTGTTGACTTAGACATTTCCTTCAGGAAATATCACCCTTCATAATCTTAACTCTCGTTTGAGGGACCTGTTCTGTGTGCTCACAAGAGTGTACACAGCACTTCTGTATTGTAATTATTACTGAACAGGAATTGTGATTGTAGAAAAATTTAATTCCAATTTATTTAGGTAAAACAGGTTTAAGGAATGTTTAAGTTGTTGTAAAACATGTCTGCAATATCTTTGACACTCCCTTCAGGAGGCAGGTCAAACATTTTCTTTGCTTGAATCTGGACTGATCAGAGAGTCTCACTTTTAGCCAAGAAAAGTTCCAGGTGTGGTGCTCCATGACCTCTGGCGCTATAGCAGAAAAGGTGATGCAGATCCACCCTGCACACTCTTGGAGGCAGAATTCTTTGCCAGTACCCCAAGTTTCCTTGCCATCATCCTGAGGACATCACGCTTGTGGTTATGTAACGTTACATGCGAAAGGAGAATTTTCACACATAATTAAAGGTACCTATATTTGGCTTCATATTGATCAAAAGGAAGACTATCTGGCTGGACCAGACCTAATCACATGAAACCTTTAACAGCATAGAAATTTCTTTGGCTAGAAGCAGAATAAGAAGTTAGAGAGGCATGAAGCATTGTGGGGATTTGAAGTGGGAGTTTCCAATACTAATTACAATGTTTGAGGGATTGATGGAGGGCCCGTGAGAAGTCTCAGGGCAAGGCACTTCTCTTGGCTCTCAGGAGGTGACAGCAGCCCTCCACTGACAATCAGAAAATGGGGTCATCTGTTTCACAACTGCAAGGGACTTAATTCTGCCAACAGAATGAGCTAGGAAGCAAATTCTTCCTTGGCATTTCGAAAGAGAACACAGCTGGCCAAAAAGTTGAGTGTGGTACTCTGAGTAGAGAATCCAGCCAAGACTGAACCCGACTTTGGACACACAGACTAGTGAGGTATTAAGTGGCTGTTGCTTCGAGTCACAAAATTAGTCATACTTTGTTACCCAGCATAGAAAACTAATACTTTCTGAGTCTCTATTTTAAAAATCTGAGTGCACCCAGATCATCATGTTATAAGGAAACTCAGAACACTTGGAAAGGTCACACATAGGTATTCTAGATGACAGCCTCAGCTGAGGTCCCAGGTGACAGCTAGCATCAATAGTGAGATATGTGAGTGAAGACATCACCTAAAGATTCTAGCTCACAGATACAGAGAGATTGAGCCATCATATCTTCCCAGCAGAGGACCAAGATATTTTGGAGCAAAGCCAAGCCATCAGTGCTGTTTTCTTTATTGATTCCAGGCCCACAGAATCAATGAGCCAAAACAGAAAAAAAAAAAAAAATTAAACTGCTCAGTTATAGGATTATTTATTATGAGGCATTAGAAGCTAAATTCTGCCAATAACTGAGTATTGAGTAACTTATAGAACTTCATCTAGAATATATAAGTAAAATGATTAAATAGCCAGGAGTGTACATATCGGAAAGACATGTAACTGTACCATAAGACTGCTCTAGGTGGAAACCCCACAGTTATACACTTACAGCTCTGCATTCATGAGGCATGTGACCAAAGATGAGACATATCACTACAACTACTTCAGAAGATGCAAAAGTCCCTTCCCCCTACCCTATTCCCTAAAGAAGGAGCTAATATCCTATGTGTTTCCTAACACACGCTCCTCATGGGTACTTCCAAGACCCCTAAGCAGAAGCACTGACCACACGTAGACAGTTTGAAGGCAGGGCATCTGTAAATCAAATATTGTTTCAGCTTTCTATCTTTATATTATGTGAAAAGAAATTAAATATGAAGAGTGAATGTAGGTGAGCCACAATATCTGTCATATCTGTCACAATATTATCCATTTGTTCCCAGCTACTCAGGAGACTGAGGCTGGAAGATTGTTTGAGACTAGGAGTTTGAAGCTGCAGTGAGCTGTGATGTGCCAACATTCTGGGTGACAGAGCAAAATCCTGTCTCTAAAAAAATAAATACACACATACATATATAAATACATAAATAATATTATCCATGTATTTATTCCTTCCTTGGAACTTATATACCTAAAAGGCAGAAGAGGTTCTGTTCATCATTATATGTTACATATGTTGTACAGTCACTGACAGAGTTGGTGCCTAATAAATAAATATAATAAATATAAATAAATGAAGGGATATTTCTACTTCTTTAAAAATAGCTTTCTATCTGGTTTCACACATCTCACTCAAACCACTTTAAGCATACCTTATTAATAGAAACTATTTCTAAACATATGTAATTCACCTTTGTGCTATTTTTGTTCCCTCTGATTTTGTCATTCATATCTTAGCTGAACATAATGTTCACAGAAAAATGTTACCAGACTACTTCCTCTAATTTGATGTTTAGTATCATGTCCTGTTCTCCTGCTTTAATTCTCTGTATGGCACATACTAATAGATAGTTTCAGATTTATTCATTGATTTCAAGTTATTTATGTACTGATAGAAACAGCATGAGAGCAACTACCTTGTTTATATCTAATGCTGTGTCTAACATACAGAATGAACTCATCAAGTATGTAAAGAATGGACAAAATTCACCCCTCCAACCTCCACTTAAATTACCTTCCATCAGCTCTGCCTTTTTAAATTTGAGTGGACTTTTCAGTCAATTCTTTTGAATTGACCTTCTTGCCTTACTGCCCTGTACTGTATGTTATTTACCTTCTAAAACAAAAGTAGATTTGGATTGTATAAAATAATTTAATTGTCTTGGGGATAATTCTAAAAACCATTTTCCCACTGCACATTCACCTGGCTGTGAACTCTACTTGCCCATCGTCCACGGAGTTACACAAAGATGAAGAAAAGCACTAGTAACCAGTGACGTAAGCCCAGGATAGCAGCTAGCAATAGAGACGTGAGTATCCTGGAAGCAAATGTTACGAGAAAAATACGACCCGTGGCTGAGGAAAAGTGAAGTTCCTGAAACTGAAAGACAAGTCCGAAATAAAACAAAGCTAAAGTGATAGGAACATAAAGCCCAAGGCACTGGCTAAGTTCAGGACTGATCAGATAGAGGCTTGGAAGAGCAGAATTGTCTAAATTACTTGAGTTTTAGGTCTGCAGATGGTAAAAACAGAGTTCAAATCCTCATATTCTCTTACATAGCCTCCCTTTCTTGAAGACCAATGGAGCACTGAAAGATGGAAGCTGTTTCTAAATGTGTTTAATTCATCTTTGTTTTATCTTCATTTCCCCTGATCTTTACGTAGAAGTCATTTTATCATTCATATCTCAGCTTAAACATCATATCCATAGAAAAACATTGAGGACCAGTGGAGCCCTGGGAGATAAAGTGGTCCCAGCTGTAGGGAGTAAAAAAAGAAGAATCTAGGTGTCAATGACCAGGCAAGTTCATTGACAAAAAAACAAACAAAACAAAACAAAACAAAAAGAGGAGAGAATCTTCCATCATTCTCTCAGATGATATTAGATAGTATTTTCCGCTTGAGAGTTGAGAGGAGAGAAACTGTTTTAAAATGTTTAGATTTCTAATATTTAGTAATCATTTCACAAATGATTTTTTTTTTGAGATAAAATTTTGCTCTTGTTGCCCAGGCTGTAGTGCAAAGGAGCAATCTCAGGCACCGCCACCTCTGCCTTCCAGATTCGAGAGATTATCCTGCCTCAGACTCCAGAGTAGCTGGGATTACAAGCAGGAGCCACCACGCCCAGCTAATTTTGTATTTTCAGTAGAGACAGGGTTTCTCCCTGTGGGTCAGGCTGCTCTCCAACTTCTGACCTCAGGAGATCCGCCCACCTCTGCCTCCCAAAGTGCTGGGATTACAGGCGTGAGCCACTGTGCCCGGACCACAAATGATTTTAAAAGAAATTATATTTAATATCAATTTTAATATTCAGAAGCTCATTTTTTTGTACTTTAGATTCTGGGGTACATGTGCAGATCATGCAGGGTTGTTGCAAAGGTACATACATGGCAAGGTGGTTGCTGCCTCCATCCCTGTCACCTATATCTGGCATTTCTCCCCAAGTTATCCCTCCCTTACCTCCCCATCCCCCTGTTGTTCCTCCCCTGCCCTCCGCAACAGACCCCAGTGTGTGATGCTTCCCTCCCTGTGTCCCTGTGTTCTCACTGCCTATGAGTGGGAACATGCAGTGTTTGATTTTCTGTTCTTGTGTCAGTTTGCTGAGAATGATGGTTTCCAGCTTAATCCATGTCCCTACAAAGGATATGAACTTATCGTTTTTTATGGGTGCGTAGTATTTCATGGTGTATATATGCTAATTTTTTCTTGTCCAGTCTATCACTGATAGGCATTTGGATTGGTTCCAGGTTTTAGAAGCTCATTTTAATTTTATTTCTAGAAATAAGAATTCTATTTATTCGCAAGTACACAAGAAACTTAATTTTCCTGACAACACAATTATCTCAAGAGATAACTATGAATACAAAATTTTAACATAAAACTGATTTTTTTATAGCTGCTGTTCATTTAGTGAATTAAACTTATTCATTAACACACACATTTTTAGAACATTATAGTTTAAAAGATTTATGATTTTTATATGAGTAACGTACATATGATTATATAAATTTAAATGTGTTTAACTGTAACATTATAACTGGTATGTTTATTTAATATTATACATCCATAAAAATTGTTATTCAATATAATGCAAAACAATTTTTCTAAGCAATGTGATATTGTGCTAGACTGAAGAATCTTTGCAATTAAATGACTATATTTGAAGATCGTTGTTAAACTGCTTCAAGTATTCAAATTATTTAAAAAAAACATTTAAACTATAGAGTGTGTAATAACAGTACCTATCCACAAGTCCGATTATGAGGATTAGCTAAGTTATTACATGGAGAGAGATTTGAACATGTTTAGCGACTAACATGAAGTATGTAGTATTAGTTACTACTATTGTTTACATTAATGCTTAATAATGGCCTAATAATGACAAGCTTATAAGAGCAGGAAGATAGATTTTCGTGACTCATCTTTATTAGATGTTCAGAACACTAGCAAGCACAGTGCCAGAAGTTGAGTTTTATCTCAGAGTAGGAAGATTAAACAGAATTGGCAAACTACAGTGGTAAGCCATCATATAGGAAGGACTTTTTATTCAGAAAATGAATAAATATAAGCATTTATAACTTCTCCATTTGCAGTCAAACCAAAATCCTATAGTGACTGCTGTCTTCTTTAGTACATACTTATACGGCATCTCCAACTATGTATGATTGAATTGCTCATAGATATTTTTTCACTGTATTTTCTGTAGGTTACTATATTGAGTGAATCTTTGCTGAGTAATTGAATGAGCTCATGTAATGATGTATTAAATGAGCATGATTAATTAGCCTTCTAATGCATAATATACATTATCTGATTAAAATTTTTGATTTATATCAACTCTCATAGTTTATTGATTATTTATTTAATATTAACATTTAAATTAGTAGTGTTTGATTTATATCAGCTCCGCCTATGGTTACAGGGATGTAAACTAAAAGAAAATAGATCATTGCTTGGCATGGCATAAAGTCAACAAAGCTACTTGAGAAACCTGGAAAAATTTTTAGATTATCTTTTGTTCAGTCTTGGTATCATGCTGATTTCCTATATGAATATTGTAAAGAAGACTCTTGATCATATTACATTTTCCTATAAATAGGACATAACTTAATATGATTTAGAAGCCTAATAAAAAATAAACTGAAAGTCTTGTAGCCTAACACCAAGTAAAGTTGGTATCCTGTTCATTAAAATTTTAGTAGCTATATTGCCTTTATTCTTCCTGCCTAAAGGTAAAAATTTCAGCCTTGGTTAGACACCAAGGAACAGACCTCGTGTAATATGAACTTATTAAAGGTGATCACATACTTAAATCAAATGCAACCATGTAATAACCCTGTCTGTAAGAAAGATACTATGTTAAGAGTTATCAAAAGGAGAGATCCAAGATGGCTGATCACTAGCAGCTCGGGATTGCAGCTCCGACTGAAAGAGCAGAGAACGAGAGGATGCCACACTTTCAGATCAATTTTTGTTGCTCACGCACCAGGAGATTCCCAGCGGAGGAGTCCCACGTGTCGCCAACGCGACTCTTGAGGCCGGTGAGGCGGTTTTGCTGCTGCCTTGGAGCGGCGGTTCTTGGTGCAGAGTCAGAAAAGCACCATCAATCTTAAAGCCGCTGTTTTGGCCGGTGCAGTGGGTTGCTCAGATTCTAGCACCGGGAATCAACAAGTTGGACATCCATTCAGAAACCCAACTATAAAGATGGTAATTATAAAGACCACAGATGGATAAATTTATAATGAAGGGAAGAAACCAGCCTAAAAAGGCTGAGAATCCACAAAATCAGAATGCCTCTCCCTCTACAGGGGATCACAGTTCCTCATCAGCAACAGAACAAGGCCTGATGGAGAAAGGCTGTGTCCCATTAGCAGAAGGAGGCTTTAAAAAGTGGATGATAAGAAACTTCTGGGAATTAAAAGAACTTGTTCTAACCCAATGCAAAGAAACCAAGAATTTTGAAAAAAGGTTTGATGAAATGTTAACAATAACACACAATTTAGAGAGGAATATAAGTGAATTAATGGAGCTGAAAAATACAACACGAGAACTTCGCGAACTATGCACAAGTTTTAACAGCCGAATTGATCAAGCAGAAGAAAAGATATCAGAGGTCGAAGACCAACTTCATGAAATAAAACAAAAAGACAAGATTAGAGAAAAAAGGATAAAAAAGAACGAGCAAAGCCTCCAAGAAATGTGGGACTATGTGAAAAGACCTAATCTACGCTTGATAGGTGTACCTGAATGTGACGAAGAGAATCAATCCAACCTGGAAAATACGCTTCAGGATATTATTCAGGAAAACTTTCCCAACCTAGCAAGGCAGGACAATATTCAACTCCAGGTAATACAGAGAACACCCCAAAGATATTCCTCAAGAAGACCAACCTCAAGGCACATAATCGCCAGATTCACCAGGGTTGAAATGAAAGAGAAAATACTGAGGGCAGCCAGAGAGAAAGGTCAGGTTACCCATAAAGGGAAGCCCATCAGACTCACAGCAGATCTCTCAGCAGAAACCCTACAAGACAGAAGAGAGTGGGGGCCAATATTCAACATCCTTAAAGAGAAGGACTTTCAACCCAGAATTTTACATCCAGCCAAACTAAGCTTCATAAGCAAAGGAAAAATAAAATCTTTTGTGAACAAACAAGCACTCAGAGATTTCATCACCACCAGGCCTGCTTTACAAGAGCTTCTGAAAGAACCACTACAAATAGAAAGGAACAACCAGTATCAGCCTTTCTAAAAAATTGCAAAAAATAAAGAACATCAACATAGTTAAGAAATTGCATCAACTAATGGGCAAAACAGCCAGCTAACATTAAATGACAGTATCAAATTCACATATATTGTT